CATGGAAATCAAAAGCATGATGACATTTAGAACAGATGTAAGAACATGGAAACGAAAAGCATAATAACATTTAGAACAGATGAAGGAACATGGAAATCAAAAGCATGATGACATTTAGAACAGATGAAGGAACATGGAAACCAAAAGCATGATGACATTTAGAACAGATGTGAGAACATGGAAACCAAAACCATAATAACATTTAGAATAGATGTAAGAACATAGAAACCGAAAGCATGAAAACATTTAGAACAGACGAATGAACATGGAAACCAATAGCATGAAAACATTTAGAACAGATGTGAGAACATGGAAACCAAAACCATAATAACATTTAGAACAGATGTAAGAAAATAGAAACCGAAAGCATGAAAACATTTAGAACAGACGAATGAACATGGAAACCAATAGCATGAAAACATTAAGAACAGATGCAAGAACATGGAAATCAAAAGCATGATGACATATAGAACAGATGTAAGAACATGGAAACCAAAAGCATAATGACATTTAGAACAGATTTAAGAACACGGAAACCAAAAGCATGATAACATTTATAACAGATGAAGGAACATGGAAACCAAAATCATAATGACATTTAGAACAGATGTAAGAACATGGAAACCAAAAGCATTATGTCATTAAGAACAGATGAAAGAACATGGAAATCAAAAGCATAATGACATTTAGAACAGATGAAAGAACATGGAAATCAAAAGCATGATGACATATAGAACAGATGTAAGAACATGGAAACCAAAAGCATAATGACATTAAGAACATATGTAGGAACATGGAAACCAAAAGCATAATGACATATAGAACAGATGTAAGAACATGGAAACTAAAAGCATAATGACATTTAGAACATATGTAGGAACATGGAAACCAAAAGCATGATGACATATAGAACAGATATAAGAACATGGAAACCAAAAGCATAATGACATATAGAACAGATATAAGAACATGGAAACCAAAAGCATAAAGACATTTAGAACTTATTTAAGAACATGGAAACCAAAAGCATGGTGACATTTAAAACATATGTACAAACATGTAAACCAAAACCATGATGACATTAAAACATATGAAGAAACATGGAAACTAAAAGAATGATGACATTTAAAACATATGTAGGAACATGGAAACACAAGAGTGCACACGCCGAAATGTCTCGCCTGGTTCACTGACAATGCATTGATTTTATGTTGATAGTTTTAAATATAAAGTTTTACTACAAGTATCACATAAACTTAACATGATCAAAGAAAATGAGGTCAAGGTCAGATACACCAAGACAGAAATACATGTCCACCTCTAATACAATTCCATACATCAAATATGTTTGTCCTAATGCTTATAGTATAAAGAAACAGACCGAACCATGAAAACTTTATATTGAGCAAAGAACCATGAAAATGAGGTCAAGGTCAGATGAATCCTGCAAGACAGACACCTTACAGTCATTCCATACACCAAATATAATTAACCTATTGCTCTTAGTTTATAAAAAAAGACCAAAACAGAAAACCTTAACATTCAGCAATGAATCGTAAAAATGAGGTCATGGTCAAATAAAACCTGCCAGACTGACTTGTACATAGTAAAATATTTTCATATACCAAACATAGTTGTGCTATTGCATACAGTATTAGAAAAAATAGACCCAAACACAAAAAACTGAACCTTAACTACTGAACCATGAAAATGAGGTCAAGGTCAGATGACACCTACCAGTTGGACATGTACACCTTACAACCATTCCATACACCAAATATAGTAGATCTATTGCTTATAGTATCTGAGATATGGACTTGAGCACCAAAACTAACCCTTGTTCACTGATTCATGAAATGAGGTTGAGGTCAGGTGAAAACTGTCTGACAGACATCAGGACCTTGCAAGGTACGCACATACCAAATATAGTTATCTTATTACTCATAATAAGAGAGAAATTAAGATTACTAAAAATCTTAACTTTCTTTCAAGTAGACACTGAACCATGAAAATGAGGTCAAGGACAATGGACATATGAAAGACTGAAACTTCATAACATAAAGCATCTAAATACAAAGTATGAAGGATCCAGGTCTTCTACCTTCTGAAATATTTAGCTTTTAAGAAGTTTGTTAACGCCGCCATCGCCGCCGCCTGATCACTATCCCAATGTCTTACTTTCTGCTACAGAAGTCGCAGACTCGACAAAAAAGCATGATGATATTTATAACAGAAACAAGACCATGTAGGAACATGGAAATCAAAAGCATGATGACATTGAGATCAGATGTAAGAACATGGAAACCAAAAGCATAATGATATTAAGAACAGATGAAGGAACATGGAAACCAAAAGCATAATGACATTTAGAACAGAAGTAAGACCAAGTAAACCAAAATCATGATATCATTTAGAACACAAGTAAGAACATGTAGATGAAAAGCATGATGATATTGGGGATAATTATACATTTAGAACAGATGTTTTATGGATGATGGATGGAAGTTAAACGTCCAGCGGCAAGTTAAAGTCATATTAAGGGCGAAAACATGTTAATGGGTATATGAATATTACCCTGATTTGTACTAGACTGACAAGCTGAGACAGATTTTTTAACGTGCTAGTTCTCAAAGTAAACAGTCAGTAGGAAGATAGTCACCCTATCCAGACACATTATGCTCTAAGCTGACCAGTATTTGCTTCTTACTCTTTAATGCTGCGTGCTTAGTGGAGAAGCAGCAAATACCTATTCTAAAGTCTTTGGTTTGTCCAAGCCAGGTTTCGAACCCACAACCATCCGCAATCGAGCCGAACACACTACCTTGAAACCATCAAAGTAATTATGTCACACGGAAACCAGAAGCATGTTGACATAAAGAATAAACCTGAAATTAAGAGCAGATGTCAACATGGAAATCAAAAACATTATGGTATTGAGTGTTAAACTGAATGAGAACAGATGTCACTTGGAAATCAAAAGCATGATGATATTGAGCGTAAAACTGAATTAGAACAGATGTCACATGAAATGAGAAAGCATAACTATATATGGAGTAAATAATTTCATTATAGATACCAGGATTAAAATTTTGTATGCAAGGACGCGCATTTCCTCTTCAAAAGACTCATCTCTAATCATAAAAGTAAAAAGTTAACAAGAGGCTCTCAAGAGCCTGAATCGCTCACCTGTATTTCAGAGAAGATTTTTAAATGTTAGCATACTTGATGAACAAATTGTGTAAAATTGTCTTTAAAGGGCAATAACTCCTTAAGGGGTCAATTGACAATTTTTGTCATATTAATTTTTTTGTAGATCTTACTTTGCTGAACATTATTGCTGCTTACAGTTTATATATTTCTATAATAATATTCAAAATAATAACCAAAAACTGCCAAATTTTGTTAAAACTACCAATTCGGTGGCAGCAACCCAACAATGGGTTATTCGATTCGTCTGAAAATTTCAGGGCCGATAGATCTTGACCAATTGAACAATTTTACCCCATGTCACATTTGCTCTAAAAGATTTAGTTTTTGAGATATAAGCCAAAAACTGCATTTGACCCTTATGTTCTATTTTTAGCCATGGCGGCCATGTTTGTCGATGGATACAAACTTCGGATACATTTAATAAACAAGATACCCTAAGGAACATTTAGTTAAAGTTTGAAGGTAATTGGACCAGTAGTTTCAGAGGAGAAGATTTTTTAAATGTTAGCAAACTTGATGAACAAATTGTGTAAAATTGTCTTTAAAGGGCAATAACTCATTAAGGGGTCAATTGACAATTATGGTCATGTTAACTTTTTTGTAGATCTTACTTTGCTGAACATAATTGCTGCTTAAAGTTTATATATATCTATAATAATATTCAAAATAATAACAAAAAACTGCAAAATTTTGTTAAAACTACCAATTCGGTGGCAGCAACCCAACAATGGGTTATTCGATTCGTCTGAAAATTTCAGAGCTGATAGATCTTGACCAATTGAACAATTTTACCTCGTGTCAGATTTGCTCTAAAAGCTTTAGTTTTTGAGATATAAGCCAAAAACTGCATTTGACCCCTATGTTCTATTTTTAGCCATGGCGGCCATGTTTGTCGATGGATCAAAACTTCGGATACAATTTATAAACTAGATACCCTAAGGAACATTAAGTTGAAGTTTGAAGGTATTTGGCCCAGTAGTTTCAGAGGAGAAGATTTTTGAAATAGTTTACAACGACAGACGACGACAACAGACGACGGACGCCAAGTGATGGCATAAGCTCACATGGGGCCCTTCGGGCCCCGGTGAGCTTAAAAGTAAGCCTGACATTCAGAAAAGATTGCAGTATAACCGAACTATAAACAATTGTCATTCAAGTGAGAGGTTTATCTAACTAACCCGGTTATAGCATCATTTTCTTCAGAAAATGCCTGTACTAAGACAGGAAAGTTGTTTTTGTTTGTTTCGTTGTTTGATATAGTCCAGCATTTTGATTTGTCAGGTATAATGGACTTCTTCTTTTTTGAATTTACGTTGAAGTTCTGATTTTTTTTTAATACATATTAATGTAACAAAATGGAAACCAACAGCATGACATCCATCTTTATCATAATTATGAATATAATCAAAACATCTAGAACAAATGCCATATGAATTAAAAGTATTCCATATGGATAAATTGTTCATACAGAAATATCTCTAGCCATACCCATTAGTGGTTCCCCTTAAACCAACTTTATCACAAATTCAACGTTTCAACTATGCAATAATTCTAAGTGAATAGACACTGACTGAGGGGCGTGGCCAAATAATGGAAATGAGATGTGTAAACACTAATACAACTGTATACCAAATACCATTGATTTACCTTCAGTGGTTCCCTGTTACACTGATCTAATCACAAACTTTGACAATTTTTTTTCCATGGCTGCCAAAAGAAACAGCAAGAGACAAAAAAATACATGATGAGATATCATAATATGTATGGAATTTGTAAACAATAAACAAAAATTGTAAAAGTAAATAAAATTTAATTCAAGACATTATTACATAGCATTCCCTCAGGTTACTATTAAATTAGCAACCAATAAACTATACAGTAACACTTTTATTGTATAAAATATAGCAAGCAACATATAAATACTTTGTTAAACAAATCTCACTCATACAGTCTGCATAAAAATCATTCAATCATAACTTCCAGTCTTCTCCAAATTTTTATGAAATAAAGAAATATTGCTAGGGATGCACTGAAATTTAATTTTATACCTATACTGATTATAGAAAAAACAACACATCATATTCAAAGACCCCTTTGGGCCTTTTCAAAAACAATACCAAAATGTTCTTTCAGTGCATTCCTCCAATATTTGTAGATATGTTGCTTTAACAGTTTTTACCTATCGTATCTTTTCAGCTTAGAATCGTAAGATTGATACCATTAGGGTCAAAACCAAAATCAAAACTCACAAATTTTAACCAAATGTGCTCACAATGGATCAATTGCATGGGAAAATTGTTAACTTACTTGGATTTTTTATAACCTTTGCTATAGGGGTTCACTATGGGAAAATTGTTAACTTACTTGGATTTTTTATAACCTTTGCTATAGGGGTTCACTATGGGAAAATTGTTAACTTACTTGGATTTTTTATAACCTTTGCTATAGGGGTTCACTATGGTTTAAGTTTGCTATTCAAAGTGTAAATTTCCAATTTTTGTTAAAAATGTGGAATTTGTAAATATTAAAATCTGAAAATCAAATGTGGCTGAAAATTGCTGGAAATGATCCGTATGCACACTCTAAGATGCAAAGTAAAATAAATCTAGGTTAAAGGATGTCTTGGACAAATTTGTAAATTAAACAAAATATCATACAACAACCTGATTGCAATATTTTTCCTTGTTTTTTTTTTAAAGCTGTACAAATGACACTGATTCATGTATTGTTTTCACTTCCTATTAGTGGCCCCTTTAACACCTATAACTTCTAAAAATTGATGATATAAACCAGTTTATATTTTATCTAACTATTCATTGCTAAAAAAAAACTGTACAAGTATAACAAATTTGATGATTATTAGAAAAAATAATGGCAAAAGAATTATATTTCTGTAACAACATAACAAAATTATACCAGCCTGAAATATTTAATACAGGGTCCAAGTTGGCTCCTGTCACTTCAGAAGTGTTGAGCCACACACTTGCACACAATTTTCACTTCATATATAAAGTTGCACTAACTCTCATACAGCATAAAGACTTATTCACATTACACAAAGTGAAATCATACAGCATAAAGACTTATTCACATTACACAAAGTGAAATCATACACCATAAAGACTTATTCACATTACACAAAGTGAAATCATACACCATAAAGACTTATTCACATTACACAAAGTGAAATCATACACCATAAAGACTTATTCACATTACACAAAGTGAAATCATACAGCATAAAGACTTAATTCACATTACAGAAATTGAAAAAAACAACTTTTATACAAAAAAATATTTATTAAACTTTTTCATGTGTATGTACATTCACAACAAAAAATAAGCATTAACATTTAGTAGCTTAACATTTATCACAGGTCAGTAACAATAGAATATGATTTTGTATGATATAATATCTCTGATTTAACACCATAGTTCTGTTACTGATAATGGAATAAATTTGTAGAAATGATTTCTATACAATCAAAAAATACCCACATCCAAAATCTACTTACGTTTTAAAATACTCAGGACACAATCACAAAATACCCACATCCAAAATCTACTTATGTATTGAAATACTCAGGGCACAATCACAAAACACCCACATCCAAAATCTACTTATGTATTGAAATACTCAGGGCACAATCACAAAACACCCACATCCAAAATCTACTTACGTTTTAAAATACTCAGGGCACAATCAAAAAATACCCACATCCAAAATCTACGTACGTTTTAAAATACTCAGGGCACAATCACAAAATACCCACATCCAAAATCTACTTATGTATTGAAATACTCAGGGCACAATCACAAAACACCCACATCCAAAGTCTACTTATGTATTGAAATACTCTGGCCTCAATTGTCAAATATCCAACTTATCTACTATCTATCAACTATATCTACTTAACTCAAATACATAGGGCACAATCAAAAAGTGTAGTTCCAACTTACAGTGGTAACAATGATATCTTTATCATAAAGCTAATGTATGATATTTCCTAATGCTATATATGCAACGATTCATCACTCTACCACAACAAAATATGTTTATAGCATAAAGTAGCCCTTCTGTTATTTCTAAATAAAAAGTGATTTTTTATAAAACCCAAACTAGCATAAAAAATCTTGTCAATTATTTTATAAGTTTGTGTCACTATACTCAGAACAATAAGGAAAACAACAACAAGAATGGTGTATAAACAAAGTCTGACCAACAGACATAGTATAACATATACAGGGTCTGGTAGATCAGACATCAATAAAGTCTGACCAACAGACATAGTATAACATATACAGGGTCTGGTAGATCAGACATCAATAAAGTCTGACCAACAGACATAGTATAACATATACAGGGTCTGGTAGATCAGACATCAATAAAGTCTGACCAACAGACATAGTATAACATATACAGGGTCTGGTAGATCAGACATCAATAAAGTCTGACCAGTAAACATAACAAAACAGCTTATTGTCTTCAAAAATATGTCCTACTGAAACAGTTGTATTCTACATTCTCCCAACTTTTTCTAGATTGTATAAGTCAGTAAAGCTTACAACAATGCAAAATTACAAAATGAAAGAAATACTAAACAAACAAGAGTCAATGTTTGTATTACATCTTAATTACTTTCCAAATCATAAATATTATTAGAATAAAATGTCTCCGATCATTTTTACACAGAGTTTGGGACATGTTAATCTTGTAATTGGAGAATACTTAAAGATATAGAAGTTTCTTTACTTGAGTCCAGCCACACATTTATTGTTTACTTCAAAAATTTCCCTCTTTGACAGAAGTTAAGGTTCAATCAACCTGATATGTGTATATGTTTGTAAAGCAGTCAATTTCCAAATCTCAAATCAAAACCAATGGAAATATTCATATAGTTTAACTTTTATCAATTAAACTATTCAGAATCTTTTTGCGTTATTTCTAATTTAATAAATAATATAATTCAAAGAACACAGCTAATATTTATGAACACTTTAATTACACACTTCATTAATGAACAATAGGTCAAAACTAATCTATTTCTATATATGCATGTAATAAATAAACATACTGAAAAAATATTGCTAAATGCATTGATTGTACAGATATTTCCAACTGATATCTACAGCATTACCTTTGACCTTGTATTAACTTTACCCACTATTAAATATACAATATGACAATTCATCAGACATATAGTGGATTCATCCATCGAAACTATCACCAACATCAAAATTAGACAACATCTCAATGTTTCAGGTGAAAGATCCAGGTAACATATGATAATGAAACAAATACTTTGGTGAATGAAGAGACCAAGGTAACATAATAATGGTAATAAAACTCACAGACTGTCATCACTGTTTTACAAGTTATACTGAAAACTCTGGAATGTTTTAACACTCAAATTACTTCACTTAAAGACAGATAACTCGTTCTATTTTTTTCTGTTATAATTTGTACATTACATTACTCATTTTACAGTGACAATATTACACTGAAGAAATTAGCAAATATTAATGAATAAACTGTCAGTTATCTTGATAATCTTCTTCCTAAAGCTAAATAGTCCACATGTAAAAATGATTGAAAAGGTATGACAAGGTGCCTTAAATGAGAAACTATTCATTTAACTTAAAACAAATTCTTCAAATGTTAACAGACATCAGTAATACATTTAAGTTGTATTTTACATATAATTAATAATTGCCTTCAAACTATATGCATTTATGGCAAATTAAAAAGATGACTAATGTGCCTGTTAATGTAAACTTCCCATTAATGAGAAGATATAAACAACATTTTTGCCAAAAAGAAATATTTTACTGAAAAATGGGTTACACAAAAAATTAATGTTTTTGAAACATCATTCAATTTTAGCTGTCGTGATTATCAAATTGTCCCAAAATCTAATTTATGACAACAAAATTTACTTTTAACTTATTTCCCTTATCATACCTCCTCTTTTTAATGGATGCTATATTTTTCATATTTGCTTTTGAACAGATATATTATGTTATGGAGGGGTATTTGCCAAAAATACCAGTCAAGGGACGGTGAAATTTCCCACGCTGCTAGGCGTTGGAAATTTGGGCCCAAGACTGGTATTTTTCACAAATACCCCTCCATAACATAATATATCTGTTTAATTACACCGAATAGATTTTGATTGAAACTGTCTGTACATGTGAAGGGAAATCGTAGTACCGCGGGAATTATACATGTACTGATACGCGTTAGTGCTGTCTTTTTGTAATGTCATGGTATCTATATGTGTAAACATCATTGTTATTCCATCATTAAATCGTTCATTTGTATAGAACTTTTTCCCCCTTTTAATATGTATATTTCTGACAGTTTTCGGTTTAACTCAATCAATAGTGCTTAACCATGTTGTCAGGATAAAGTGAGAAAGGTTCCGAATAATTTTGGAGGGAACTGGCTCGCGAGGGTAAAAAAAGGAATATCCAAAATGGCAAATACCACGGCAGAGAGGGGAATTTGAGGCAAATTCACCGGCAGTGGTGAAAAACAGACAAATTCGTTTTAATTGAGAAAAAAAATGTTAGAATATGCAAAAAATACACTGGCTAACAACCAATCAAAATCCGGCATTCTTATATAAGGTGTAATTATATGAAAAACAAACCTGACAAATTTCCATTTCACCATTAAATTAAATGTTCAGTAAATGTTTTGCAATAACTATTATCGCAAGTCTTTATCAGTATATATATATATATGTTTTGCAATAGCTATTACCACAAGTGTTTATCAATATATATATATGAAGGACTCAGAGATGCGATGGGGACACTGAAGTGTGATGGTCACGCTTAAGTGCGATGGTCTGCGCCGAAGTGCGATGGTCCTTTCGCTGATCTGCAATGGTCTATAAGACGTGTGATGGCTAGTTTAAAATTTACAGATGTCCAATAATTATATATGAGAGCTTTATCTTTTTATAAGTTAGTATCATAAGTTCAATATTTTCTCCAGTTGTAGTTAAAAACCTCAATGATCAATCTTATTCACAGCAGCGTATAAATTTTTCATTTATTTTGTCTGACTTACCAAAGAGTATTTGCATCTCAAACAACTACTACATTTTTTCAGTCATTGCAATTTGTACTGGTTTAATATAGCTTCTGCATGTAGAATCAATTTCTGAACAATTGTATGAACGACTTCTTCACTATGCCTTTACAGTGAGGACTGAAAATGCAATGACTTTTTATCATGACTGTTTTGAATTAAACAGGTTATACTTTCGATATTTTACATTTTTAACAATAACAAAAAGCTACTTTTACAAACAAATTGACTTCTACATCGACATGTGAACATGAAAAACTTTGAAAATATGATTTATGTAATCCATCGCACTTCAGCATAACCACCATCGCACTTCGGCGTAGCTATCAACAAGATAGCATCACAATGCCACCATGGCACTTCGGCGTGATCATAAACACACTTCAGCGTTAAACTATTGCACATCAGCGTGACCATCGCAGTTCGGAGTACCATCACGGTTCAGAGTCCTACATATATATGTTTTGCAATATTAAACTATTATCACTAGTGTTTTATCAGTATATATATATATTTGTTTTTATTTTCTGAATTCATGGCATGTCTTTAATTATTCATATACTTTACTTAAATCAGTATATATATTTGTTATCAGACGTATTTTTCTCTAATGATGGCATAACTTCATCTGTCTTTAATCTTTTATATTCTTTACTGTTTGGTCTTCTTCGTGACCCATCCTTTTTACCTTCCAAAATAAACGCCAGAATCTGAAGACAAAAAAGAAACAATTACAAAAAAACTTTTGTTTGGCTATGTTGTCAATGTAAAAAGTAAAATAACAAAGATATCAAACTCTTATGAAAATTCAAATCGGAAAGTTCTTATCAAATGGCAAAATCAAAAGCTACAACAACAGTCTTTGTACAATATCTAGTTTGTGATTAAATACCATGAAAACTAAACATTGATAAATGAACCATTTAAATGGGGGCAAGGTCGTATGGACACTGCCAGAGGAATATAACCAGTATATTTTAGATGCAAGAATGTCAAAATGTAGAATTCAAAGATTTGTTATAATTCAGTATTAGTTAAGATATTTAGCACTAGCTTAAGAATTAATTTACTTGATAAATAATTAATATAAATCTTCACAATTTTAAATAAGTGTAAAGCAAATTATTATGTAATCCCCTGAGGGTTAAATGACAATAGAGAATTAAGGATTAGAGAAGTGTTATATATAAAAAAAGGGATTTCTTACTTTGTAAGATAATTTAGGTTATGTCACAAAGACTTGATATTTGGGAAAATAGATAAACTAGCATTATAATGTAAAGTAAATATATTGAGTATTAATGTTATGTAAATTGAATAATGAAAAACAATATATATTGGTTGACCATGTAGTAAGGGACAGATGTATTTTAGAGTTGTGTTTTACAGTGGTGTTTTAGACTTGTGTTTTAGACTTGGATTTAGACAGTTGTATTGAATTGATATTAGACATGCTGTTTTAATATGTCTCATGAACTTATGATGTGATTATTGTGATTGATAACTATACTGAATGCTGATTAATAAACATTATATATAGAACTTGAATCTGTGTTACGTTGACATGTATTCAAATGAAAGCTACCTGCTAGTTCCCCCAACCTAGCAAGATGAGTAACCAGGTCAGAAACAAGCATAGTACTGGCCTTGGTTATACGTGGCGGAGTGACCCAGCTTTCCGGTACTGAGGAGGGATACATGTAGGATGCGAACCTGAATACCGAGACAAGAGTCAGCATATCTCCATATAGGAAACAGTGGATTTTTCTGAGTATGCAGAGGTGAGTCAACCTTTTATTTGTGATCTTATATGACACCAAATCTTTAAATTTTACTTTATTTTGTAATTAAAGTTGTCAAGATCTTTTAATAGGATTTTCCCTCTAAAAAGACTCAACATGTCTAATTCAGTTTATCCTGACCCCTCCTTAGCTCTAATAGCCCCCCTTTCAAAAAATATTATACATTTGCAATTAGGAAATAAAACAGTTGATTCGTTAGTTGATACAGGTGCTTCAATTTCTTGTATATCATTAAAGTGTTTACAAAAATGTTTGAAAAACATCAAAATACAAAAAAGTACGCAATCTGGAATTTTTACTGCTTGTGGTATGAGCTATCCAATTTTAGGAAAAGTAGATGTTGAATTAAATATAGATGATTTAATTATATATCAAGAATTAACAGTACTTGAGAACTTAACTTTTAATATAATTTTAGGAATAGACTTTCTTAAAGCTAATAAAGCTCATATAAATTTTGAAAATAATACCTTAGCAATTCAAGAAAATTTATTGAATGTACCTTTAAATAATATAGAGACTATAAATGAACATTATGGACATGTTAAAACTATAGCAGAAGAGGTTATTCTCCCACACTGTGAAATTATTATACCTGTTAGGCTTTCTGTTAGGCATAGTAAAAACAGTACAGTAATTCTTGAACCAAACTTTTCAAATGATATTAAAAATTTGGTTGGTTCAAAAGTGGTAGTAAATGTACAAAATGGAAAGGCTTTGTACAGAATTCTAAATCCTACTGGATTAAGCAACTAAAGATATTCAAGTAGTGTTATAAGCATTCATAAATGCAATGTGACAATGCTTATTCTTTTGTATCGTTGAAAAGTGTTATTTTTGTTCTGAATTTCTGGTTAAAGTACACAATATTCAGAAGTTATAGTGTCTGTTAATTTAATCCTGCTGGACAAATGTATTCATTACATTAGTAGTTCTTACTATTAGATCCTTAAATATTGCAGGTAAACGGCACATCTACTGATGTACTTTAAACCAATTTTACTTCAGATTATACAAAATGTACTTTATCAATGATACAAATAGAACTATCAAGTGGTCCCTATACATACATTGTATATAGGCATCACTATTTTTGAACTGTTGTTTTTCTTATTATGACTTAAATATTTTTAGTGGAAGAGTAACAAATAATTAGGGAGTACCTAAATAGGAAGTACAAAATAAACTGGCGTACAGTTGTTATATAGATAAATTAGAAATAAGAAGACAAACGTATAGGAATTAAACTAGAATATAAAGAAGGGAAGATAATTAGAAATTCTTACATGTTGTATGTAATTTATGTTGATATAAATAAATAGGTAATATATATATTGGCCTAAAATTGTGGTATTCTAATGAATATTTGAGAGATAAATAAAAATTCCCCAAATTAAAATGAACTTAAGATAATAAGGTATAAGGGTTTTTGGTGTCATGTATGATTATGCTATTGGTTGCACTTACATTGATGAAGTAAAGTACCAATACCCACAAAATGAAGAAATGGTGGACCCATAAAATGAAGAAATGGTGGACCCACAGAAGTGACCAAATTGTGCATTTAAAATTAAAGAAAGACAAACAATGATGGACATATCATATTAGCTAGTGAAAATTTATTTGATATTATAAAACTTATTAGCAGAGATTTGTGACCTGAAGTGACATTTTATTAACTTTACATGAATATTGATGAAGATTAAAAGACAATGTGATATGAAAGTTGATAATGATATCTGCAAAATTACTATGACAATCAAACAGAAGAAGAAACCAGGTGGACATGTATCATGATGTATAAACAATATCGTTGAAAACTAGTAACTTTTTTTTGACTACCAATGGTGAAAAATGTGAAGATTGTACTGTTGGACATTAATTGTCTATATTGAATATGTGTACAAAAGACACTTATATTTGCTTATTGAAATGCTTGCTTGTTTTGATATAGAATGCTTGCATGTTTTGATATTGATTATTAATATTTTCTTTATTGTTATTTTAATTATAAATATTTTCTTTCCAAATTATTCACAGGTTAATCATATACAAATGTATATTTCTAAATATGTTTTATGTTCATTATATAAGAAGGTAATATGATTTGAATAATTATGTGTTTAACTTGCAGATGATGACCAATATGGATAATATTAATAATCTTATATTTCAGTTATATATTGCTATTGTTATGCCCCTTTATGCACCTAGAAATACTTCATGAAGTATGCAATGAGCTCATTGTCATTAATTATGTGAGAGTTGGACTTGTCAATATTAGTGAACTTCAGAGAACTTCCCTGATATGGACAATCTAAACTTGACCATTCCACATCCAGGAACATGTACATGTATATATATTTAGTAATGTTTTATTACAGGAATTAGTGAATTAATTAATGTTTTCACAATATTTTTTTTCATATATATGTTATATCTTATTGACAGGAATCAGTGATTCAATTGTTTCACAATATATTGTTTTATTTTATTGACAGGACTCAGTAATTAAATTGTTGCTATATAATATGTGTAAAATATTATATTTTTTTTTTAATGATGCATTTTGTATTTTAATTGAAGATTGCAGGAGCAATCTTGGCGACGAAGGGAAGGGTATAACCAGTATATTTTAGATGCAAGAATGTCAAAATGTAGAATTCAAAGATTTGTTATAATTCAGTATTAGTTAAGATATTTAGCACTAGCTTAAGAATTAATTTACTTGATAAATAATTAATATAAATCTTCACAATTTTAAATAAGTGTAAAGCAAATTATTATGTAATCCCCTGAGGGTTAAATGACAATAGAGAATTAAGGATTAGAGAAGTGTTATATATAAAAAAGGGATTTCTTACTTTGTAAGATAATTTAGGTTATGTCACAAAGACTTGATATTTGGGAAAATAGATAAACTAGCATTATAATGTAAAGTAAATATATTGAGTATTAATGTTATGTAAATTGAATAATGAAAAACAATATATATTGGTTGACCATGTAGTAAGGGACAGATGTATTTTAGAGTTGTGTTTTACAGTGGTGTTTTAGACTTGTGTTTTAGACTTGGATTTAGACAGTTGTATTGAATTGATATTAGACATGCTGTTTTAATATGTCTCATGAACTTATGATGTGATTATTGTGATTGATAACTATACTGAATGCTGATTAATAAACATTATATATAGAACTTGAATCTGTGTTACGTTGACATGTATTCAAATGAAAGCTACCTGCTAGTTCCCCCAACCTAGCAAGATGAGTAACCAGGTCAGAAACAAGCATAGTACTGGCCTTGGTTATAGGAACATGTACACCTACAATTATGCTTATGTGCTTTCACTGCTTTGTCTATAGAGTATTTTTCTTTGTTGACATTGTCATGACAGTTGTTTGTTGGCTCTCTACCCCAATTTTTGAAATTTTGACATATTATATTTGTTTGTTTTGCTCACACATTGTTGTCAATATATAATGGAATTCTATGTGACTGTCATACAAGTGAAAGGTTTACCTAGCTATAAAACCAGGTTTAATCACCTATTTTCAACATAAGGAAATGCCTGTACCAAGTCAGGAATATGACAATTGTTTTTTATTCGCTTGATGCATGTGAGCTTTTGATTTTGCCATTTGATAAGGGACTTTCCTTTTTGAATTTAGAGTTCGGTACATTTGGTATTTTACTTTTTTCCAAACGCCGAATACAGTTGACCTAGTGCTTATAGATTTATAAAATCTTCACATTGACCAATAAACCATAACTAGAGGCTCTAAAGAGCCTGTTTCACTCACCTTGGTCTATGTGCATATCAAACAAAGGACACTCTCCAACATTGTAGAGGAGAATAGACTTCACGACAAAAATCTCTATTTTGTTGATCTGGTATTACTGATCT